TCTAATATTCCTAGAGAGAAGTTATCATACTTTATCCTGAGGGCATAAAATGCTGCTGCCATTCTCATAAACTCTGTAAGCCTGAGGACACAGCAAAGGTCTGATGAAGACTCACATTCCTATTGTAATTCTGTAGTTTATTATCCTGATAATGAGTCCTCTGCACATTCATGCTCTGTCATACACTTGGTAAGGACTGCTTCGATTGTTTATTTTTAAGCTATGGTTTTCCCAACTTGTATTCTTCACTGAACTTATTCTAGCTGCTTTATATTTTACAGGATTTCTTCAATATTTCTTGTGACAGCTGGCTTCCTTTATATTTGGTTTCATGAAATCCTTTTTGTCTCATATCAATATATCAACATGACCTCAGTATATGGGGAGGTGATGCATGTGCTGGGTCTATCAGTTAGAAATGCAAGGCGGAATATAATTTTTGAGAAAGTGTGTATAGGGTTGATGGAGTGCCTGATGAACTTGAGAACGTTCCTGTTTCATTTAAGTGACTTCTTCCCTTTGGCCAAACATACAAATTCTTCATTTTATTGTAGACCCGGCCTCCTTTGCCTTCTACCTCAAAGGCCCAGATGCCTTTGCACTTTCTCTCTGAAACTTCTTTTGACTTCTTTAGCTCACCTAGAGTCTTTTTGGAACTGCAGAAACACCTCAAGTTAGGGTCAGAGAGGTGAATGCACAGGACATTTTCATAGCTTTTTTCTGTTTGTTTTCTATCCCTAAACTGATGATAAAACCCTTCAGGACTGACCCATATATCTTTTTGCTTGTGTATTTGTGTAAGAGTGTATGTGTTCTGGGAAGAGAGTGGGGTTTAGAGGGTAAAAGGATGTGCCTTGCTAGCCCTCAGAGCATGGTTAATGAATACTCATTGATAAATTTTTTAAAAAAATGAAAATGAAAATTCATTCGCACAGGAGCTTGACTATATACTGTTCTTTTCCATAACCTTATTTAGGAATGTACTAGAAATGTGCCACTGAAACCTTGATAAAAAATTTTTTTTAGTCTCCACAATTTTTAAAAAACGTTTTAAAATAGCCCATTAGTGCCTGAGAGGGTTTAGGTTTGTAATACATAATTAGGCATTTTTCCCCTGCAAGTCTGAAATCACATATTCATGGGAATCCGACTTCCCTGTAATCTTACTCTTTTCTTCCTTGCACAAGGAAGGTTGAAATATTAATTGCTGCATCAGCCACTTTAAGATTAATATATATTTTCCGCCATTCTAAGGACTACGTACCTCCTGTGTGACTTCTAACTGTCTATTCTCACAGCTGTCTGAGAGATAAGCAACTCTGTGTCTCTGAGAGTAATCTATAAATCGTATTCAAATTCATGTGTCCAAATGATCCTTTCTTTAATCTCTAAAATAACTCTACTGGAGACTTGCTAGTGAACTTCAATTGAAAACACTGTGTTTTCCACCTACTCATATTCCTGTCAAATATGTTAGTGTCGGAAAAAGAAGAATAGAACTGGTGAAACAGGCCTTCAAACTCTCTGCTGGCAAGAGAGGCTGCATGGATACAATAGGGCACCTGGTTCAAATCAGTAAGCTCTGGCTTTTGAAAGCAAACTAGAAAAATGAGAATGAAGTAATTTGGTTGCTGCTAGAAGAGACATCTCTTGTGAATTGTTTTTGTCATGCCATTGCTCTCAAAGAGAAAATGTCTTGATTCTAATAATAATTTAATGTTCTTAAAATGTGCCAAAAAGAGGTTATAAAGGTGAGTTATTGTGTGAGTATCAGAAGACACCCATGGCTTACAGTTTGGCTCAGTGGTGCTTCAAGTTCTGTACCATCTGAGCCATTCTCCCAACCCAACCTCTCCAGCCTCCAGCCCTATTGGGTTTGAGTTATTCCCATTCTCTGCATATTCCATGTCCTCTATATTCACACTAATATGCCTTTCCTCCTGCCATTTCTCTGCCTAGAATACCTGGTTTTATTCTTCCTCCATCTTTGAAACTTTTCTAATGAGCAGGTAACCTCTCTAAGATATTCCTCAAAATTAAAGAACTAAATGATTTCTTACTAAAATCCTGATTTATTCCTAATACTCTGTCAGCTGGATAGGATATAGAGAATGATTTATAATTAACATTTATTCAATACACATTATGAGACAGACATTAGGCTAGGTCATATGTTTGGAGTGTTATCTAAGTCAACTGTCATACCTTGCACAATTTCTAATTTGTAGATAAAGAAACAGAAATTATCCACCTAGTAAAAGAAAAAATATTATTTGAACTCAGGTCTATCTGACACCAAATTCCATGTTCTTTTCCCTAGACCATGGTGTTCATGACAGTAGATTTACAATCTAGTTTGGGTATGCGATAGAGACAGAGCTATGTAGAATCCTAAATCACTGTGAACTCAAAGTTGGGAAGACTTTTTGACATCATATAGCTCAGCCGTCTTTTGGATCCTGGATATTTTGTATATCATAAAAATGAAAAAATAACTTCTATCAGAAAACCTTCAGCAATAGGAACTCCATACTTGTCATGTTGGATGAATGGACTTGGGTGAAACTTTAAATTTGTCTCTATTGAATGCCATATTGACAGCTTTGTCTCTTTTACCAGCCAGTTCAGAAAATGTTGTAACTTTGTTTGGTCATTCAATATTATCATTTTCCCTCCAAGTTGTATATTTTCCCCAGAGTGCTATAAATAATACCATTCTGCCATTGACAAAAGTATTCTTGAAATGGACTTGTGAGCATATCACTAGAGCTTTCCTAGCTGGTTGACAACAGTGCAATGATTGACATCCTTCAGGTGTGGTCATTTGATTATCTAGAAAGTTCGTCAAATGTATTTTTGCTCTTAAATTTTTGGCAAGGAGAGGCTTTGTTAAATACTTTGATGAAATGCAGAGCATTGCGTTTATTCCATTTTCCTATTATACCTTTCTAAAATCCCTGCACAGAAAGGAATTAAGCTACTCTGGTGTGACTTGTCCTTGATGAGCTCAGGTTGGCATCACAGCATCTTTTCATTTCTTTCCAAGTCTGCATAAGCTGCCTATTTGCTAATCGGTTCTAGACTTTGGCTAAAGAATGATACAGATGACTTAACATCCAAATTCTTGCAATTTTGAAAAAAATAGGACATTGAAAAAACCAGAAATAGTGACTTGGTCACAAACAGTCCATAATGAGGCACATGTTGATTGACATAGCTCATATGCACTTGTGGGAGAATAGAAGGGCATGGGGCAATCAAGAAAGTCTTCATGGAGGAGGTGAACTTTAGAGGATGCCTAGAATTGAGTTAGGAAGTAAGAAGATTACAGGGAATTCCAAATGATGAAACAGGATAAGCAAAGATACGGAAGTCTTGAATATGAATGAATTTGATGTGGGTCCAAAAGTTGGTGTGGCTGGAATAGTGAGTACATACTGAAAAATATCAAGAATACAGCAGGACAGGCAGGGTTGGTCTTGCTTGTGGGATGGCCAGAGAATGCTGGCTTTGAATACCATGAAAGGATAAAAGGCATTGAAGGTTTTTGAGCAGAGGAGTGACCTAGCAAAGAGTAGCATGAAAGAGGATGCTGCTGGTAGCTGTGTGCAGGATTGCACTGTGTGGAGGAGCAGCTGGAACCCAGGGGGCTTAATTGGAACTGGCACAGTGATCCCCACATGAGGGTGGAAGAGTCTTACCATGTATAGGATTTTGGAACTGAATAGGAATGAACACAAGAACCACTTCAATGAGAAAGAGTCCAGATTGGATGGTTGACTGACTCTCGGTGATGGAATTATTGAATGAAGGAATATGAGGAATGAAGGGTAGTGACAAGATCATCTTCATTCTTCACCATGAATATAACTCTTCCAGTCTTGGTGTTTGGGAAGACTCTGTTGTCGTAAATAGAGACTCTGTAGGGGGTTGAGGTGGGCACGGATACTTTGGTTGCAAAACTGGGTTAATTGGAAATGAAATCCTATACAGAATTATTATTTAAAGGTATTTTAAATACCCCTCTACCAAAACTTACATTTGGAGGTGAATCCATTGTAGGTATCTCTTTAAATATATATGTAGGGGCAGGAAAATAACCTCCCACCTCCGCTCTTTAGAGGAAATAAGAGGCTCTGTAACTATTGAGGAAAAATACATTCACCTTTAAATTATATTGTTTTAGAGGTTAAAAGTATATAATTTCCCAAGGAACACATCGTGATTCAGCCTGCTGGGAGGCTATTGCTCAATTATTCTCAGCAGTGGCAAAGGTGCCTACAATTCCTTCAGCTCTGTTTAAGCTGGTGGGAGCAGAGGTTGTCCAGGCTGCAGGCCGACAGGGCAGATTTGGGCCTGACAAGTGTGACACTGTCCCTTGGACTGTGGTCCCTCTGCTGATATGCCAGGAGCCTACCTAATCACAGGTTGCCTGCACAGGTGGCCCTGGCCTCTGTGCCTCAGGCCTGTTAGTTAATTTGTCTGGCTGGCATATCTCTGAGCATGTTCATGTATCAGGCTCCATCCCCAGGGTGTGACCAAGTGGAGAGATCCATGCAGTTTCTAGTCTGTGAAAAGAGGTCATATCTGGGATTAGCTGACTGAAGGGGCCATGGTGGCTGCTGAGAGGACCCTGCCCTTGCAGGTATGGACTCTGTCACCTTCAAGCTGCAAAGGTCTTGGTGAACAAGATGAGCTGTGGAGTGGCTCAGCAGGCTCCAGGCTTGTGGCCTGAGGATGCATCTTATTAGAGATACAGCTACTTGTTATTGGGCATTGTGAGGGGCTATGACCATCTTACATTTTTGTAACTTTAATAATTTAGCATCTGATGTTGTCAGAGGCTTCAAGTGTGACACAAGGGGGTCATCCCCTGTTTGCATGTATACACGAACGTGTAGATCATTAATATAGACAAGGTGCTATTCTGTATTTTTTTTCTATGTGCACCATGTCTTGATGTTCTGGTAATTTTGAAAAATAGAATTATTGAAACTCACCGAACAGGATTTTAGGGCTATCTTTCTTGCCGCCATGCTTCCTTGATTTTATCAATTTGAATGTGACTTGGCATAAGCAGAAGCAGTGCTTGACCTAGGCAGAGGGTGGTGGAGAGACTGAATTGGTAGCTTCAAAAAGTAGTAGAGAAAAGATATCACCCAGGTGGGAAAGTGGGGGCAGTGTGAGAGCCTGGGGAGCTCTCATCCCCTCACCCCTCTTCCTTTCAGGCCATCCATTCCTCCCACCAGCAAGCCTTGAGAGATTGCTTGCTGAGGCTCTGGAGAAATGAGCAACCAAAACAAATCCACTGTAATCAATTCTAAGCTTGATTCTGGTCTGCAGTTTTAGCTTTTGGGAAATGATCACCGGCTCATGTTAGAGATTTATAAACAGGCCCCAATGTCAGTCAAAGGCAGAGCATCAAGAAAGGAAAATGCTAGAATCTTTGACTCATCAAAGAGAATCTGTAGCTTTTCCAGCTCTCCTCTCTCATTCTCAGCATCTCTGTTGGTAACAAGGAGAGTCTGGAAATTGTTTTTTAGCAAATGCATTTGAGGGCAGGTTGAAGGGAAGTGACACATTGACAGGTGACTGTGGGAACAAACCTGGAAAAGGATGGTTAAAAAAAGTAGCTGCTGAAAAAGAGGGCCTCCCAAAATTCCTTCAAGGTTTAATTGCAGGTATGCAGCTGACCCGTGTAAACTGGAACTTCAAGGGAAGTGGCAGCATATCTTCTTCCCTTTGAAAACACGACAGATCTTAGAACAGCCTAGTAACAGAAGCAGCAGTCCCAGCCCCAATTATTCTGGACTGGCTTTGATGGCATTGCCTGCATGCACCCCATCTGCAGTTTGGTTTATGCAGCTCTATCCCCCACCTTTGTGCAGGCTTCCTACATCATCATCACCATCATCATCTTCATCATAATAGCAAGTAGCATGTAATGATGTTTATGCTGTACTGGGTGCTGCACTCAGGGATTGTTTTTTTCCATGAAGTAAGCCTGTGGGGCATTTATTGTTATCATTTCCCATTCTATAAAAGGGGAAATCTGAGGCTCAAGGTATTAAGTGCTTTGTTCAAGTCACGCACGTAGGACATGATTGAGTCAGGGTTCAATTCAGAAAGGCTGCCTCCAGAGCCCCTATGCTATACATGAACAGATGGGTGGCTGAATGGATGGTTAGATAAGCAAATGAATGAATGATTTTCAGTAGGCTCTCAAGCAGTGTTCTCCTTGCCCTGGCTTAAAGATTCATAAAGCCCAGGGGAGTGGGCTGTGGCATCCCTCTGCAGTCCTTACCAGTGGTAGGCATTTGTTTCCTGTTTGGGGTGTATGTCCCCTTCCTCAAATGTACAGCTTTCCTGGGGCAGGTTGCTGATGCCTCTGTGTGAGCCCCATCACAGCCCTCTATGGTAGCACTAGGCAGGGCACCTCTGAGAGTTTCTAGGAACCCCAGGGGAAAGGAGTATCCTCAGCCTCATGTACCTTAGGTCTCCGAGTGGTACTTAAATTCAGAGGGACAAAGTCAAGTACCCCTCTCCATGGGTGGGTATAGGGAAGAAGGGGAGGCAAGTTTCTAGTACATTAGTATTAATTGCTTCCACTTATAAAGAGACTAATATGTGCCAGGCAGCATGCTAGGTTCTTAAGAGCATTGTCTCATTTACTTACTGTAAGTCAATAAAGTACCTACTTTATTACTATTTAACTAATGAAAGAGCTAAGACCCAGAGATAGTTAATTAAAATATTAACAGTACATAATAACATCAAATAAGTTTTGAGCACTTATTATGTTCCATTCTGGGGATTTTTCATACATCCTTTCATGTAATGCTCCTAGTGACCCTCTGACCTCCATTGGGTTATTTCTCCTGGTTTTACAGGAAGAGTAACTTGCTCCACTTTACTTAGTGCACACACAAACAATGACGTAAGACATGGCATCTGCCCTCTTAGAGATCACAATTCAGATGAAGAGAGGAAACTCTTTTTTATGGAATAATTCAGGTTCTGTTTACAGATGGGTGTAAGAGTGGGCGGAGGCCCAGGTGGCCTCAGAGAAATATTTCTCTCTAGGAGAGGGAATGGGGAGGAACCTATGGAAAGTGGTAGTGAAATACCTCATTTTAGTTGTGTTGGAGGGGTTGGAGCAAGACATAGGGCTTGACAGTAGGAGGTTCTCAACATTTGCAAGGCATTTCCCTTCTGAGAGGGGCAGTGGTATAATCAGTCTAGAATGGCTGAGCTTGACTATCTTCCTAAGAAAAGAGTTGGAGGGATGGCCCATAGATATATCACTAAATGAACATTAAATATGTTCACATTGAATTAAGAAGATCAGTATGTGTTCTCAGGTGTGATAAGGATTCACTCTTTAGTCACCTTTCTAGTTGGGCAACACAGTTTGTGGGTAGAAAATCCTCTTAGAATTCATTAAATTCTGAAGAAGTCACTCTTAGAATTCTCTGGGCGTGGAGTTAATGTCATCCAGACACCTATTTCTCCCTGATTTGAAGACACTGGGATCCGAGTGAGGCAGAGAACTCTCATAGAGGGGATTTTTGCCATTGTATATCTGCTTCCACTGCCTGCAGTGGTCAAATCTCCCCATTCCCTACCCAGCCAGAGAGGTCATGGAGCTCTGGGCTCAGACATAGTACCCTGGGAAATAGCCCACCCACATGTGGATGTGATAAGAGAGGCAGCATCTGGGGCAGGAACTGAAGTCCAGGTTTGGAGATCACCCAATGGGTTGCCTGAAGGGGCTGCCAAGAGAAGTTGAATTCACAGTGAAAACAGGAGCAATGGGAAGAAAATGAAGCATTAGAGCAAGACATTAGAGAGGAACAAGGAAGACATCCTGGATTCAGAGAAGGTGGCTACAGGGATTTTCTAAGTCTCATTGGCCTTGGGTTTGGACAAGGAGAGATCATAGGACATCATTTTTTCCTAGAACAAAATGTCCCCTAAACCCTTTATTCACTTGGAAAACTCTTATGCTTATTTTTCTCTCTCATCCACTTTGAGCAATTCGGTTTTGGGATAATGCAGTCTTATTTGCTATACTTCGATCCAGCTCATGGCCTATAGAAGCTGAAGGCATGTTTATTGACCCAATTATAAATTTAAACATAGAGTTATTTTGTTCTGCTCAATTTTGCTGAGAATCTAAAACTCTTTAAAAAATAATCTGTTTTTCAAAAACATCATTTAAAAATGAGATTAGTTGGAATATCAGCTCTTACAAGTTCAGAGTGCATGGCAAAATCATATTTTGGGACCTGGAAAACTAAGTGGATCCACTGAGTCCCCTGAGGTCCTGGCCCCCGTGAAGTCCAGCTGATGTCATCAGTCTCACTCTTTAACATCCCTCTTCTTTAAATTCAATGGGATTTGAGGCCGCTTCTGTCTCCGCCTGTGGAATGTGCAGATGGTGCTGGCAGCTGCTCAAGCTGGTGCTCCTCCTCAATGCTTCTTGTTCCTCTGCTGGGGGACACTGCCCGTTGGGCCTCGTGCTGGCAGAGGCTGGAAAGTCCAGGGGGAGGGCAGCTGGGGAATCTGACTTTTATGCCTGGAATGAAAACTCCCCTGGGTGGCCTGGAGACAGTGTTCTGACCCTCTCTGAATCACCCGCACTGAGATGGCCGTTGAGCTACCAGGCACTTCTGACTCCAAGGAAAAGCTTGCAGGTCCAGGCCTCATTGCTGTACTCAATTTCCATCTTCAGGAGGGAAACATCTCCTGCTTCCGCCTTCAGAGAGCCTTTCTCTGTGCTTCTTTGTGAGCCATTTCTGAGAACTGCCTGCTTTCTGTTGCTGGTGGTGAATTGATTGAGAAGATCCTTTGTTGATAACCCAGCTTCAAAAGCATGCAGGCTGCTGTTTGTCTTCTTTCTCCCTTCCAACGGAGGAGATGCTCCTAAAGAAGAGTAGGGAGAAACAAAAATACCCGTTTGATTGACTTAGAAGCTTACTAATCTTTTTGTAAACGGGCTGTAGTGTCACTATTTTACAGGTAAGTTGTATTATTTCCACATGTTTTAACCCTGTTAAATGGGGAGTGGGTAAATGAAACCATTTTATCTGTGAAGAGTAAATTCTGTTGTCAATGTTTATAGTTTTCTTTTGTACAGATAATTATTTAATTTTATTTTGGCAAACATTAATTGGGTGCTTAATACACATTAAATGTAGATAAAATGAGATCCACAATTTTGAGGCTCTCATAGGCAGCTGGAGGAGAGATAGGTAAACAAACAACCATAGTTTCTAGGGCAACTGGGGCACCAAACCCTCTGATACTGACTATTATGAGATCATATTCCCTTAAGGGCACTGTGAGGTCTAAATTGCCTTATAGGCCCCAAAACATGTTAGGTACCTCATGCATTTAGAAGGTATTTAACCAACATTTATTGAATGAATAACTAAATGAATGAATTGAATTTTGAATCCTATCATTCCCATATTCTTGCATGCTTTTTTTCTAATATAAGGATGAAGTGGTCTCATGAGCTCCTTGGCTAACTTAAATGCTCCTCCCTACCCCTCCAAAAAGGATGTTCAACTTGATACTGGTTGGAGTTTTAAAGAAAGAATATAGTCAGGCTCACACCTATAATCCCGGTGTGATTACCAGCTTTGGGAGGCCAAGGTGGGAGGATCATTTGAGGTCAGGAGTTCAAGACCATTCTGGCCAACATGGCAAAACCCTGTATCCACTAAAAGTACAAAAATTAGCATGGCATGGTGGCATGTGCCTGTAATTCCAGCTACTCGGGAGGCTGAGGCATGAGAATCACTTGAGCCAGGAGGCAGAGGTTGCAGTGAACTGAGATGGCAGCACTACACTCCAGCCTGGGTGTCAGAGTGAGACTCTGTCTCCAATTAAAAAAAAAAAAAAGTGAAAGCATCTAGTCAGATGTGGGCCTTGCTTAACAAAGCTGGGGAGAATGGCATTTACCTTGGGAAATTTTCTATGGTTCAGGGGCTGGATTTGGAGGATTCAGAAAGTTAATACTTGGCCAGTAACTCATCCAGAGGAAATACCCAAAGTGGAGGCCAGATGGGGCAAGTGGATTGCAAAATTGGCCCTAATTCTTGGCTCCCCAAGTTCCTACACTTAGCAATGTGACTGTAACTGCTCGCATCAAGGGTGGAGCTATTCCCCTACTTGTTGCATTTGGGTTATCCTGTGGTTTGCTTGGCAAATTGAATCAAGTGGGACAGATGGTGTTCTATTCAAACTTATACCTCAAGGGACCTCTCATGCCACTGCTCTCAGATCCTTGCCACTGTCATGTGAACAAAACGGAACCAGCTTTATAGAGAATGAGTCACCCCTGCTCCCGTAGTCACCAGGCAGCCAGCTGCCAGAAGCCAGCCAACCTCTAGTCAGCCAGCCCTCAGCTGATCTACCAGGAGACTACAGACAACATGAGTGAGCCCACTCAAGATCTGCCAAGGTTGGCCCAGATCAGTAGCACACTCAGCTGACCTACAGACTTGTATTCAGTCATAAGTACATCTTGTTTGAGGCCACCAAGCTTTGCAATAGTTTATTATGTAACAACAACCAACTTCTATACCAGGATTCCCAGTTCTTCATTTATGTGTAGGAGCAAAGTCAATTCTCTCATTCCAACTGACCCATGTTCACTGACTTAAGCAGAGGTCTGTCTCCCACACCAGCTCTTGGGGCACCACAGGACAAGAAGAGTTTGGAGAGTCAGGGCTTGGAACAAAGAAAGGTACTTGATCAGAAGATTCCTGTGTTCAGTGGGCTTTAGCTCTGATGTAGCCATTTCTACAACAGGGATGCTGCAAGTTCAGTGGTACACAGCA